CTCAAGGAGGACTGTCGGGGAGCGATGTAGCCTGTGAACGACATGATAGGCGGGATCTCTCCTTGTCAAATTCCCGTCGCTAAGACTACGTTGGTTGACTTCTGCAAGGTTTCTGTAGAGTAACCCTGAAGATCTACGGAGTAACCCACGATGCTCCTCATGTCTGCAGCCAGGTGTGACATTGGCAACGTGCGTCTCTGCTCCCGATGTGACCACGTACCTGGTTGATCTACTCCCGCCCAGAACCCATGTGGAGATTCTACCTGCCAAGTACAAAAAGGATGGCCGTCGACCCGACAATTTGGTTCACCTTCGTCTGCCACCGTCCCACCTAGGTGAGAACTGTGACAATCGGGTGATCGTGTATCCCCTGAGCCCCAAACGACATCGGCAAAATGAAGTTCACCACCTTGACGGCCGTCTTCTCCGCCGCAGTCCTCGCGGCAGCCAGCAACATCGCCTTGCCCGCCGGTGTCCCTCGGTCGATTCAGGAGTTCCGAGAGAAGCATCCTTATAAACCATCGACTCCCTCAGGCCATGGCAAGAGGCGTGTTGTCAAAATTCGGTCCAGCCGTAACGACACAGACGACATCTCTTCGGACTTCAAAAAGGCCCTCCAGCGCGCAAATCACGGAGGAACGGTCTACCTACCAGCCAACGAGACCTTCATCATCGGCCGTAAGCATCACTATTCTCCTTCTACGGATCCCCGTCTTTCATGTTTTAGAATTCTCCAGAATGCAACACTTTAGGCTCCGTAGCAGGTGACTAACGCGTACTAGAGCCGCTGGACCTGACATTCCTCAATGATGTGCACGTTCATCTTGACGGGGAGATTAAGTTCACCGATGACACTCCTTACTGGCAGAGTGTTGCATATACCCACCCGTTCCAGAATACAATTATGTTCTGGAAGTGGGGCGGTCAGAACATCAAGATCTATGGCGAGGGAACTCTGAATGGAAACGGGCAAAGGTGGTGGAAGTATGTACTCATCCCCATGTTCACGTTTTTCACAAGGCCTTGTTCACATTACGAGGGTCGTATGAAGTCCTTTCCTCGAGACAAGCACCCTGGATGAAAGCTGCCTGACAGATTTGCTGACGAAAAGCCAGTGAGTTCGCCGGACTGGAGATCCTTGATCCAGGCAATACGTACCTACGCCCTGTTCTGTTCTACGCGCAGAACGCCACAGATATTTCCATTGAAGGGATTCACATGAAGGACTCACCGTGCTGGACGAACTTTGTGGTGACGTGTGAGTTATCTCCTCTTCTCGCAATATCCCATCACGGTTCAGGCGAGACTAAGGGCGGATGCGAGTTGTGGGCATCGGCGCGGGCTGGCTGGCTGATCATATAGACAACAGCATCAGGAGTATCATATCGCGATGTGATCATCACCGCAGAGTCAAATAACGCCAGCGCCCTGCCGAAGAACACCGACTTCTTCGACTCCCTCAATGTCGAGCATTTAACAGTCGAGCGGACATGGGTGAATATTGGAGATGACTGCTTTAGCCCAAGTCAGTATCATTCTTCTCCTTCTACAGATCCCCGTCTTTCATGTTTTAGAACGTTCCAGAACACATCACTTCAGGACCCATAGCAGGACTAACGTAACATGTAGAGTCCAACGCCTCAGACGTTCACGTTGACACAATGTACTGTAACGGCACCCACGGCCAATCAATGGGGTCCATTGGCCAGTATGCAGGCGAGAAGTCTATCATTGAGGATGTGGTAATTGAGAATATCTGTTTGTACCATCCCTCCCCAATCTTCATGTTTCAGAATATTTTCCAGCACAAATTACTTTGAGATTCATAGCAGGTGACTAACACATACTATCAGGGATGCTGAATGGGCAGTTCGGCGCACGACTAAAGTCGTGGGCCGGACCTAATGTTGGATATGGCTACATTAATAACGTTACTTTCCGCAACTTCTGTTCGTGCTATTCTTCTCCTTTTACGGATCCCCTTCTTTTATGTTTTGAAATGTTCCAGAATGTATTACTTTAGGATCCGTAGCAGGTGACTGACACATACCAGGGAACGCAAACAATGAGTACGCCGCGTACCTAGATTCTTGCTACTTCAACGTCAGTGTTTCCCCCACCCGCCACCCGCAACCGAGTTCCGCTTCGTTTCGTACCCGCTTCCGGATTGTCTTGGGCCACATTGCTGAGTTTCGACAACAGATCAACGCCACGACGTGTGCGGCATACCCTTCGCAGGTGAACGTAACAAACGTGCACTTTGAAAATTTTTCGGGATACACGTCCGGCAAGTATGGCCGAGCCGTGGCCTCTCTGACGTGCAGCTCCAACCCAAAGTAAGCATCACTCTTCTCCTGCAGAATGCAACACTTTAGGCTCCGTAGCAGGTGACTAATATACATCAGCGCCATTTGTGAAAACATTACTTTTAAGAATTTCACGGTGAAGTCGCCTTGCGGTAACGGGACGGCCACTGCCGCAGTTGTCATTTGTGACAACATCAAGGGTGACGTCGGCGTAGACTGTGTCAGCTCGAACAGCACGGAGGCAATCCTAGCCAAGGCGGATAAATGCAGTGCCTCATTGGCGACGCTGCCAGAGGCCACCCCGTGGGTGGGATAGAGGCCGTGAAGTTGAGCTACATAAGCTGTGATGGCTATGTGAGCACGTCACGTTTCTGGTGGAAGATGCTCCTCCAGAACGGGAACCGAGAAGGATCCCCTTGGCTTCGCGGTACGAGCTCCAGGAGCCGTATTGCCGGCCTGAACGGGTTGACAGGAGGCAGTGCGAGCCGGAAATTAGAACAATTTTAAGAGTGTTCGTATGCATGAGGCTTGGCATATTCCTACTCGGCGTCAGTAAGCGCTAACATACACATGGCTCGCATGGTCCATGCCGAGACGATCTCGACGCCACGTCCGGAAGGTTGGCATCATCACGTATCGAAGAATGTTGCTGGCGTTTACTTCATCAAGTGCCTGAAACGTCAAGATTCATTTGAGTATCTGGTATCTGTGGTAACGCCTCCGAAAAATCCCTTTAACCCGGTCGTCAATCCGTGACAGTCTAGTCAAGCCATTGCTATCGTCGTAACAAGCCCCTCCACGCGTTGCGTTCCGGAGCCGCTGTGTGAAATTATAGGGCAACAGCCACGCCGAGAACACCGGCCAGGACAGCACCTACGATCCCGGCCTCCCGCAGAGGGGCGCCGGCGGTGGTCTCAGCCGACGATGAGGCTGAGCCAGAGGCGGTACCAGTAGATGAGCCCGTGGCAGCGGAGCCAGTCGCAGAGGCCCCGTTGTTGTCGCTCTGGGTAACAACGATCACGGAGGTGGAGCCGGTGCTGCCGGAGGCCATGGTCAAATCGGTGCAGACTTGGACCTCGGATACAGCGCCAGCGTATTGCGGGCAGGCGGAGATGGCTTCGTATAACTCGGAGCTGCTTTCTGAGTACCACGAGAGCACGGCATCGGTGTAGCTGGTGTACTGGCTGCTAAGCGAGGCCGGGATTGAGGTGATGGAGCAAGGATCCGTGCCGGCCTGCGACTGCTCCCAGTCCAGAAGATCACCGTCAGGGATAGGTAGCTCGGTGGCGATGGCCAATAGCGATACTTGACACTCGCTATCAGAGAGGCCGCCCGAGGTGGCGGTTGGGGCTGCGGTAGACTCAGTTTGGCGAGCAATCAGAAGATCACGCCGAATAGCTATGTGTCCCGGGAATAGGTTGGCGGAGGCAGAGGCAGTGGCGGCCAGGGCCGCGATGACGAATTGGGAGTGCATCTTTGCTGTGGAGCTCGGAGGGGTATAAGACTTCAGGAAGCAGTGATAGCAAGCAGTGGAGGCAGAAGACCGAGTTGGTCAACAGAAATCATGAGGGGATAGAAAGGATTTTAATATCAATCGAACGTGGCTTTGGTTTACCTAGGCTACGGCTCGTGCCTAGCTTCATGAAATCCTTTTGCAAATCATCCTGCGAGGCAATGATTGGGCAGGATCTAAATCCCAGAGGAGCATGCTAGAATAGACCCTTCTTGTCGTCTAGGCAGACGGCACATGTGCTGGCATCCCGACTCATTTCATCATGGCCAAATCGAGACTCGCGTCAGCATTGGTCGGCGAGGCAGCTGAGCGCCAAAAAAAGGGGTGGGGGGTAGGGGTGGGGGGTAGGGGTGGGGGCAAAGGATTCGAGGGGGCCACAGAATGGGAACAAGGTTCTGGGCCCCCATTGCTACCATGATGTCAAGCCGGCCCAGCGACGGCGACCTTCGTATCGATACTGGGCAAATGACAGACAACAACAGATGAGGCTCGTCCTCTCTCACTCAGCCGTGCCGTGAATGGCAAGCTGTCTCATTCTTTGGCCGTCTTGGCCGCTTGGCCGTCTTGGCTGTGGAAACCCAGACAATCCTTTGCGGAGCCTTGGGGAAAACCAGTCGGCGTGAGGCCGTACCGATCCGGCAGTATGGTAGTCTATTTGTGTCGGAAACCCCCGGCACAGCGTAAGATTCTCGTTTATGCGGACGACAAATGGTGGACCCGTCAGAATCCTTCGACGTAAGATCAGGCACAGACAAGCCTAGTGAGAAGATTAATAAATGTGTCCAGAGACAGTTAGTTACTTTGGCGCAGCATGGTACATGGGTTGTGCGGAACTAGTGTAGTCGGCAGAACGGCATGCCTGGCCGTTACATTCCGCAGCTTCAAACCGAATATTCTCTGTTGTCACGAAAGAGATTAGTTAATGACAAGTATCACCTGCTTCAGCAATAGCTTCTATGTGCATTATTTATCCATTTGAAGAGCCTGTCCAGCCAACGGAGACCAGAGCAGAGCACCATCATTGACAAAATACATACCACACAGCCGTAATCAACACTGCGCATCCAAGCACCCGGAGGCTGGCCTGTGCAGACAGCCCGCGGCGCCATATGACTGCCGAGAATGACAAAACCGAAATTCCGGTAAAGCTAACACAGTTCACCGAGTTCTAATGTCCAAAATGTTTCCGCCCGGGATCGAACCGGGAACCTTGTCGGGCTATCATGTGCAATAATATAACTATTCACGTTTGTGAACGACAAATCATAACCATTAGAACACGGAAACTTGACAGGGATCCGTGCCCGAGAGTCTACTGTGAAGCAGAGACAGCCCGGGCCCAGGAGCGGGCAAGGTGGGTTGTAAGTATTTTTTCCGGGAGTGCTGGAGCTCACACAGACACTTCTACTCTACTCGCTCACTCCACATCCAAGGGCATGTCATACTCATAATGAATATCTTGTTACAGCTATCCTGGCCCAGCTTTCATAGAGCAGATTAACCCCCAGATGCTAGAAGTAACTAACATACACTTTAAGCCTAGTATGCCGGCACATCATTCTTCTCCTAGAATCTGCTAAAGCAATAGAAAAAAGACCTTAGCTTTGAGAAAACAGCCTCTGCTCTAAGTATCTTCCCAAGTGGTTCCAAGAGGGGTCACTATAAGTATGAGTACAACAAATTCCAACTCCCCAAAGCATGCAGGTCCCATAGGTCACCTGGATCCAAAAAATGCTGTTAAGGTATCAACTACTATCTTATGAAGTGTAGTTCCTCACCTGCTGAAGGCCGGTATTAAACTATATCATATAGGCCCATCTGTCCATAGCTGTGCAGTGATGGCCAATGTCGCTAATTTCTCTCATTCAACATGTCGAAAGAGTAGCACAAAAACAGACCCATACGCAAATCCCTCACATGGGCACAAAAGCATCATAATAGGCACTGGGTAGTGCGAACCTATCTTCACGAAATAGCCTCTCCTCTCGGAGGCAGTTGCACAACACTTGGGTATGTTACAACCAAGATGAGAGTAGAGCATATCTAGTCCTAGCCTGTGGCCCTTTCGCCCGTGGTTACATCCAGGGCGACTCACTTGAGCATGCCATTGGACTTCCTCAATCGCTATCGCACCCAGGAAGTCTCCCTACTTTCCCCCATCGTCCAATGATTATGCCCGGAATTGTAGTAGTTCGCAGGAAAAGAATATGCCACCGAAATCAAAATTTTCCGTTGTCCCGACACTTATGCCTCTGCTCTTTCACCTCTTGTTGGGCAGCGCCAGGTCCAGACATGACAGAACCTGAGATGACATTAGTAAGGGTCCATGCTTGAGGTTTGTGTCGGGTCATGTACTCACATCAGCCCCAAGAGCGCCCTGGTTGCCAAGATACCTCGCCATGTTCCGAACAAGCTCAATCTGCTCGTCCACAGTCAAGCCCGTGATAGCAGTCTCCAAGACACCACCCAGCCCGACCTTGTGCGTGGCGATGAAAGAGTGATAGTACATGAAGGTGAAGAAGCCCATGATGAACTGACAGTCCATGCGATCGGTCATACCACCATGCCCGGGAATGGAGTGGCCAAAGTCCTTGATTTTGAAGGTGCGCTTGAGTCCAGAGGCAAAGAAGCCGCCGAAAGGCGCAATCAGAGAAGCGAATGTGGCAAAGATCATGGTGTGGATTTGCATTGGCTCCATGGTCAAGCTGAACTGCGTGTTCTCCGGGAGAAAGAACAGTTGAGGAAGTTCGTACTTGTAGGGCAGGAACACAGGGTTGGGCTGGCATTGCAGCCCAGTGAAAACGTTGGCACCAAAGTCCTGCGTACCGTCAGCTTGAGCCAGCTTGTAAAAAGAGAGGAATGTGACGAAATGGGGGTTTGGGGGAGCCTACATTGACAGGGCAGGTGAAGTAGCCGCTGCGCATCATCAGGTTCGTCAGGGCGTAGCCAAAGATGACGGTGAAGACCCAAGCGCCAACAAAACCTTCGACGGTCTTCTTGGGAGAAAGCTTGATGAGCTGAGTGCGGCCAAAGGTGATGCCGCAGATGTAGGCGAAAATATCGTTGGTGATGACCAGGGCGGCAGGCAGGAAGAACCAGACCAGGCCTTCCAAAACGTTGTTCATGATGAAGTGGGCTTCGACCACAATAATAAGGAGCGCCATGTGCGTCCAAGCAAACTGGGTGAACTGGAACTTGAGTTGCCCGCCTTTGAGGGAGCCCACAAAGAAGACGAAGCCTTTGAGAATGAGCGTCAGTATGAGGGACCACCGACATCATGGACTCTTGCAGCACCCCGACTTACCAATAATATAGAGCATGAAGCTGATGAAGCGGTGGTGAGTGGCCAGGGGCAGCAGCACCTTGTCCACAAGGACAACATGCTTAAAGTAGTAGATGACGCTCTCCCCGTACAGGAAGTACATGGTGGTGGCAAGCCAGTACCAGTTCAGGCTCTTGGTGGAGCGGAGTTGGCGGGCTCGGGAGGGGACGCTCGCGATGGCGATGACCTCCTTGAAGGAGATGATCTGGATGACGGTGATGATGAGGATGACGTATATGTGGCCCATGAAGAGGGCGGCGAAGAAGCCACCGATCATGAGCAGCGTCCATATTGTCCTCGTTATGAAGTTCTGCTTCTTCTTCTCGTAGTCGTTCTGCGTTGGTGGCCCGGCGTCTTTCTGCAGTTGCGGAGGATCGTCAGCGTTTGGACAGAGGGGTGGACATGGCGGGGGGGCAGGGCGACGCGACTGTGCGCCATCAACCAGCTGCCCCGAAGGTAGTGGCATACCTCGGCGATCTGATCCATGTGCTGCGACGACCTCGTCTTTGGGGAGCCGTCTTGGCTGGCCTCGCTGTGCTCGCTGAAGCTGGCGCGCCGGCCGTCGACGCTGCCATTGCCTTTCCTATGGGCAAACTTGACGCCCCTACGTCCGTTTCCCATATTGAAAAATGGACGGGGCCGGAAGGGTGGAGGGTTGTCTCTTGGGGCGGCCTCTGGGGCTCTTATGGGAGCGGCGGGCGTGGGGGGGTATTGCGCTCGAGGGCGGCGTTGCGGAAGGTGTGGTGGAGACGGAGAGACGTGCGACAGTTGCTCAGCAGGCGACCATGTCTTGGTGGGGGTCTGTATTTTGCGCAGGAGCTGGAAGGGCCCGGCTCGCGTGCTGGTATGTCCTCGGCGTGCAGCAGTAGCTGTGGTCCGGTGGCAGCGGTGCAGAAGGGGAGGGCGGGCGCGATGTTGAAATCAGAGGGAGGGCGATGCGGTGCAGCTGGAGTCGTCGCTCGGATGGAGTGGAGTTTTACATGTACCAGCGCTGGGCAGCACTCATCTTGGTTGCTTGGCGGGCGCTGGAGTTTGCAAATTGCTCCGTCAGCTACGTCAGTACGTCAGCGTTCACGCGGTCCGGTGCTGCCGTGGCGCGGCCTTTGGCGGCCTGGCACTCCCGAGGCCTCAAAGAAGTCGGGGTCCTTTTGGAGGGGCCTCGCTTGCTTGGTGCTTGCCCCCAGTGAGCACCCCCAGAGCAGATGCAGCATCGATCGTGCATGGTCTGGGAGCTGGCTGGAGCTTCCAGCCTCCCACCTGCCCATCCGCCTGCTTTGGGCATGCTGCCGGTAGCTGATTCATGGGCCTTTGACCAGGACCTGTCTACATTGTGTGCTACATTGTGTGCATACACTTGGGCACATGTGCCAGCTGTCTCATCACCCACCAGGCTGGCTCTTGGAAATGCGTCACCTTCATTATTTACTCTGCAAAAGAAAATGATCCCAGCAGCAGTGTTGCAGCGTGGCTGTCCTAGAATTCCAAACCGGGATCAACCACCAGTGGACCCTTTACAAGCCACAAGCTTTTCCGAGGGGCATTGGCATTGGCATTGACATTGGCACCTGGAGTGATGCAATTCAGACTGCGCATGTGAAGCGTGGCGCTAGTGTTATCGCCCACCGCGCGTGGGTTGGATCGGGCGATAAGACCAGAAGACCCCTGTCGCCAAGTACCTAGGCACACTAGGTACTCTCCCCCAAGTGCAATTCATTCCCTCTGCCTGAACCCCAAGCCAGGAAAGTTCCACGACATACCCGACCACTGTCACTCGGCCGTCGACCGAGTCCGGCTCCTCAGACTGTCGCTGGCCGTGTTCTTCTTGCGCCTCCCTCGGGGACAGTAATACTCCCCAGCCGCCCATGTTGCTGTTATAACCGCGTTCTCGGCTCAGCATCGTCAAGATGGCACCAACGGGGCCCAGATCATCGACGATACAACGGAGGCCCAGCCCGCCGCCACCACCCGCCGAAGAGCCCATACCGCCCCGCGGACCAAGCCCGGGCAATCTAAATGTCTCGAACCAATACACATTCGAGCAGGACATAAGGCGATTACAGAAGGAGTACGGATGTGACCCTGCCAGGGAAGACAGTTATAGGATACAAGGTGTTCAGCTGCTCGAGTCCGTCCGTGAGACCTTGCGTCTGTAGGTCCCGCCCGCCCCTTGATACCGTCATAAACTCCGGCTCTCTGTGGCTAGCTCTGACCCAGGATGCAGGCCCGTCGAAACCTTTACTACGGCTTGCACTTACTACCACTTGTTCCGCCTTTGTCATCGCGATGCCGAGTACAACTACCAGGATGCGTCTCTCGCCTCGTTATTTATGGCATGCAAGGTGGAAGACACCATCAAGAAGTCCCGCGAGATTCTGTGCGCCGCATATAACATCAAGAACCCAACGCAGAAGACCACGCAGGACGACAAGGTAGGCTACCTGTGGGCCCGGCCGAGGGTGCGACGGGCTCTACGCAGAGGTGCTGACCATGATGGCAGATGTTTGAAAACCCACACAAAATCATCATCGGTCTAGAGCGTCACATCCTCGAAACGATAGGATTCGATTTTCGAGTGCGATATCCCCAGAAGGTGCTGGTCAAGATGGTTCGCCATGTGTATGACGCAGACGAGGGCCGCGACGTCCTCGCCATGGCTTACGACATGTCCGTGGACATGTACAAGACATTTGCCCCAGTCAAGGCCTCCACATTTAGCATGGTCTTGGCCTGCATTGAATTAACGGTGATGCTAAAGGGCCTTGACACGGCCAGGGTGCAGTCTCTGGACCTGAGACGATATCACACCATTAGAGAAAGTATCGTTGAGGTTATGCTCGACCTCCTGGATATGTACACACAATTCGCCAAGCACACCAAAGTCGGCATGAGATACGAGCTGTCGAAATTCATCGACATCAAGATCAAGCTGAACCAGGAAGTCGAGAACAGCGAGAGCTCTGCTCGC